TAAATACAATTGATTATATTAAGAGATGTAGGTTGTAGAAACTTTTCTTTAATAATATTATTTTTTAATATTTTTATTTATTAAGAAAATTTATAAAAGTTTTTTTTTTAAATTATCTAGTTTAATTTTTATTTATAATATTTTTTATATATTATAGTTTAATATTAATAAAATAAAATATCAATCACAACAAACACCTCATGTCATAATATAAATTATAAATCATAAATCGATTATATAATTTATATATTTTTAAAAGTGTTTACTTCATATAAAATTTAACAATAATTTATATATTAAAATATAACTTTTATTTGTATATATAATTTATTATAAATTTTAGTTTTATATAATAAATATTTAGCTTGTATATTACACAATTAAATTATTATCTATATTTTTTATTTATGATAAAAAATAATATTGTGATACAAATTTATTTTTAAATTTAAATATACTTTTAATCTTATAAATTAAGTGAATTATAATTTTGATTCTTGTAAAAAGTTATTTTTTCATTTTTATAAAATTTAAAGTTAATATTTTTAGTCTCTATTATTATATAGTCATTTTTAACTACTTATACATTTATAAAAAATTTAAGTAATCATCTCAGATATTATATTACCCATATAACTATTAGTTAGTGTGTGACACCTTTATTTTTTATTTTTTAAATCTTTAAAATAAATATTATTTATTTACTTTTAAATCATCATTAGATATCAAAAATAGTGATTTTAAATTTTAGATTTTAGACAGGTGAAAATAATAATAAAAAAATATCTTACAAAGATCAAAATTAAAATTAACTAATTTTACAAGGATAAAAACAATATTTACAAATTTTAACATAACATAAAACAAAGAAAAAAATTAACAAGATCTAAATTCAAAATTTACTCATTTTATATAAATTAAAAATATATTTAATCTTTTTTTTAACTATAGGGATTTTTGAAATTAAATAACACAGTAAATATAAAAGTATATATTAAAAATGTTTAAAGAACATTGCAATAAATTTTAAAATATATGTTCAAAAAGACAATAGATTTAGAAAATATTGTAGTAAGAATAAAAATAATGCAAAATATAATATTTAAATTTTGAATATAAAATATATATTTATTTTAATATTTAGTTACATATTGATAGATAATAATAGGTTGTTTATTTAATATGTAAAATACAAATAACGCTTGATTTTTAAGAGAGTAAAACTTACCTTTTTTTTTATTAAGATGATAAATTATGATGAATCAAAAGAAGAGTGAAAATAGTTAAGTATTATAAAATAGATAAATATTTGTTTATAGGATATTAAGTAAATTTGTACTCGTGATTATACTTTAATTTGTCTCAATTTTGATAAATAAAAAAAATACTTAACTTAATCAAATGCGGGTAATATCAAATTTATTAGATCAAGGATTGGATGATGAGTATATATTTACTCTAACTCGTCTCTACTTGTATTCATTTCTACTTTAAATTTTTATAAATTATTTATTTTTTGTTAAAATTTACTTGACATTCATATTAATCTTAGACTATTTTAAATTTATGAAAAATGAAACTTAATTAATTTAAATTTATAATTTTTATTTTATATTAAAAAATATTTAATTAATTTATAGGTGGTACAAGACAAGTATGTGTATATTCGATATCTGATAGAGATGTGGACGGGAATTGAATACAAACTTCATTTCTGTCAAGTATGAGAACAAGGATGGGTACAAGGTGTAAGAATGAGGATAAAGATAGCGAAACTTATATCCATCTCATTGCTATTCATATTCACTTATTCTAAAAGTAATTTTTGATAGATTCATTTTACTTAATAGCCCATTATTTATATTAAATTATAAAGATAAAATTACTAAGTTAAATTTTTTTAATGAATAGATTAAATTTATAATTTTTTTCAATGTTTATAAATTATATGATACTTTTATTATATAAAATCAAATTAATATATAACATTTTTTATGAACATAAGTTAATTTGAATTAGTATAACAAAATATAAAATAATTTTGAAATGATCTATTCATTGAAACTTTTTTATTTAACGACTATATTTAAAATTTAATATAAATTATAAATTATTGAATAAAAATTTTTACCAAAGTTTTTTTTAAAAGAAAACATCCACTTAATATTACAATATACGTTTATGAATATATATCATAATTTTAATTAATGTATTAATATATAAAATAAATTTAAAATTTTGTATAAATTTATAAACTTATACATTTATTGAAAATATTTAATTCAACTATTATATTATTAAAATTTAATATAAAACGCGTTTTACTCTCAAAATTAGTCAATTTTTTCATTTTTTTGTTCTTCTCATTTTATCCTTCACCTACCCGATGTGTTGTGTTATATTAAAATTGAGCGGATGTTAAAAAAAATTGTCGAAAGATATGTAATCCATTTATCTATTCTGATAGATTAATAAAAAAAAAATAGCCATACATGTATAATTTTTTATTCTTTAATAAAACCTATGATCATCATTAGCCACTCTATTATTGTAATTCGTGAGTGGAGTATAATAGAAAGGGACATAATAAAAATTAACATGACTAATTTGAAGTTCTTTTATTTTCTGCAAACATAATAAAAGACAAACTCATAATGGATGATACTTGGAGGCATGGGAGGAGGTGGTTAGCCACTTGGGGTTAGAGTAGAAGATGCAGAAGCTGAAGGGCCACATTTTCCAACAAGTGAATTCAGAAGGCAGCTAAAAATTTGAGCCTTATCTTCCCTCTCTTGGGGGAAGGCTCGCTTTCTCGTTCCTTTGAGGTGTGTTTGGCATTTTTTGTAGTGAAGATAAGAACAACTTTAACGGCCCCTGTAAGAGGGAAAGGAGTTTGGGATGACCAGACTTGAAGGTCAGAGAGAAATATATATAATGGATGTCATACTCATGGGTGTATTCATACAAGTGGCATGATTTAAAAAATCCTAAACCCTAAACATAATAATAATAATAATAATAATAAACATAATAATAATAATAATATTAATAATAAACATAATAATAAACATAATAATAATAATAATAATAATAATAATAATAATAATAATAATAATAATAATAAACATAATCAATTGTATTTGACTATGTCAATCAAGGATCAAATTCCTCTCTCTCCAAATCAAACTCTATCTTAATTTTTCTAAATTTCACTTTCTCCAACTCCTACCTTTCTTGTACCATATCAACCTCTATCTTAATTTTTCTAAATTCCTCTCTCTCCAACTCCTAACTTTTTTTTGTACAGATCAAACTCTATCTTAATTTTTCTTTTATCTCACGCCTTCCCACCGCACTATTCTTCGTCTTATTCCCTCCTCTTTTATGGTCATCAATTTTTGATGCAGTTACTGGAAAATAATCATGACGCAACAAGTTAACATGTAAAATCTAAGATTCCCCTATAATGGTGGAAACCTTACCAAATATGTGAAGGAGGCGAGGCGAGTAAAAAACAATCAACAAGTGTGAAAAACCGTAATAGTTACACTTTTAAAATAATGATATGATAGCATTTTATAATTGGAGGGACAGAATTTAAGGACAGGAATTAGAGACAGAAAATTTTCATCCGTCAATCAAAATAATATTTGAAAAAGTTACTTTCTTTCTTTTTAGTTATTTGTATGAGTTAAATAGATAACAGAAAAAAGTGAATAATAAAATAAAATTTAATTATTTAATTTGAGAAATAAAAAACTTTGAGGAGAAATAATATTATATATAATAGATAGAATAAGAAATAGATGAAAAATAGAGTATATTTAAAAAAAAAATAAACAAGAGAAATAAAAAGGAAAAAGTTGCAAAAACGTCATTATTTTTGTAATGCATACTATAATTTTTATTTATTTTTATTGGGATGAAACACCAAAATAATTATAATTACATTAACTAAAAAGATATTAAAGTCCAATTTTTTTCACCGCCTAACTTAGTTGGTTGAGGAGGTTAGTTATTGTACACCATCTCTCACTATCAAGTAACATTCTCATAAATAAAGAAAATAAAATATTTGCATCTAAATTCATCATAAAAAAATAAGTAGATATAAGTAAGAAAATTTTTTCTTTTATGCATTTATATATATATATATATATATATATTTTCCATTAATAATAGATTTACCTTTTTAGTTTTGAAACTGTTTTTCTATTACTTTTTAAAATTTAACAGTTATGTATTATTAGTGATAATTATTAAAAATAAATTATTATAACTGTGATTAAATAATAATATAAAAATTTCATACACGATCGATGGATAACTTTTTTTATTGTTGTTATTTTCAAGAAAAAAATTGTATATTAAGATTGCAAAATAATAATATATTATTATTTAATTACAAATCATATTATATACATAACAATAATTTTGTTAATTTTTATAAAAAATAATTGAAAGTCATAATAATAATTTTTTAATTAATTAACGATGTTTTAAAATAAAGAAAATTGCACTTACCTTTTTAAAGTCTATTTAAATGACAGACATCTCCTCTCTAACTTTGAAAAATCATTAATTTCTCTTGATATAAAATTATTAATTAAAATGATAAAAAGAAAAAAAATAAAAATTAATTTATATTCTATCAATTATATACGTGTTTATTATTCATTTGTTAAATTATTTTACAATTTTTTTTATATTTTATTTTGAAAAATAATAAATTTTCGGTCTTTTTCTTAAATCACAATAGACATAATATTTAGGATATAATTTATGAAATTTATTTAATAAAAACACTTAAATGAGTGACAAATTATAATTTTAGAGTGTGTTTTGAGTTTTGTTTAAATTAGATAGTAAATTGATAACCAGATATAATTTAAGAGAGTAATTTAATTATTTAGTTAGAAATATCGGATATAACAATGCAATTTTTCCTTTAAAATAAAAATACATTTTAATGATGGTTTACGGAAGAAGTGTACCTCACACCCACACGGGCATGTTACCCAAAAAAACAGAGACGAAAATGCAACCCAAAATATACATTACAGTGGCAAGCTGCACACAACACAACGCTGGTTGCCCCCAAAATAGCGTCTGGTTTTGGCGGGAAGCAACCAGGAATAGAAGAGAGGAAAAATGGCGAACAAGCTCATCAACCAGATGGGGTTGCCCAAATCCATCGCCAATATCTTCACTGCTCGCAACGTTATCACCGCCAAGGTAACCACTTCCTCCCCCTTTAGCTTCCTTTTTCGTTTTTCTCACAAACTTTGCTATATCCCTTCCAATTTAAGTTTTAAACCATTCACCTATTCCATCGCCATTGTCCATTATATGCATTACCTAAATTGCTAGGGTCTTCGTTTGTCACCAGAATTGTGGATCTGAACTTCATTTTTCTTATTTTTTCCCCCTTAAATCGCAGGATGCATTATCTCACACTGAATTTGAGTTGATGGAATTGTTGGACGTTGGGAAGGAAGAAGTAACTTCCGCAATGGCGCATGTTAGTGAAGTCGTGTGTCCACCATGTCAAACTGTACATATTTATAAGCTCTACATTCTATCCTCTTAGATTTTGTTGTTATTTTTTCCCAATCTGGTCGGAAAATTACTGAATCTTGTGGTAATACTTTGTAGGCGTTACTTCTGCTGGAGCAGCGAGTACGCAACGAGTGTATGGCTGGTCATCTTCCCACTCGTTTGAAAGGGTTGGATGAAGCCTTGTGTGGTGGCATACCGTTTGGTGTTTTGACAGAGTTGGTTGGTCCTGCGGGAATTGGCAAAACACAGGTATGTTGGCTTTGTATCATTTTAGGGGTATATAAAAATCGGAGTCCATCGAAAACTGATCACATCTGGTTTATAAAAACCAATCTGTTGTGAGAGAAAACTCAAACGATCCATTTTTTAAAAGTGGATTGGTTCGATTTTAAAAAAAATGATCCATATAGTATAAAGTGGGTAATTAATCTGCACTGACTTGATCTAATTTAAAAAATATAGGTCCGAACCTATCTTTGTCATTATAATTCTTATGAATATTTGTTTTTTTTTAATAAAAAGTCTAATTTATTTTTAAAAAAATCAAACTGATTCACTTTATAAATAAAACAATTCAGTTAACAGATAGATCGGTTCAACTCAGTTTGAATTTATTTGATTTATGAACAGCTTTCATTTAACAGATTTGAATTCGTACCAGGACGCCTTTAGGATCTAGAGTATGGTGTTGTTTGAGTATATTTTCAGTAACCATTAACTAGGATGGGTGAATTTTGTGTCGCAGTTTTGCTTGAAGCTCTCACTGCTGGCTTCAATGCCGGCTAATTGTGGAGGCTTAGATGGCCGTGTGATATATATTGATGTTGAGTCCAAATTTAGGTCGAAAAGGTAGTTGAAGCATGCTGGCAATGCATTTCTTTTTTCAATTGTATGATAATGTTTACTGTTATTATGTTTCAGTGTAAGAAAAAGTTACAGTATCTTCCAGTTCCACTATTGAGTTTACTTTTTTTTTTTTTTTTTTTTCCCAAGATTAATAGAGATAGGAATAAACAGTTTTCCTGAAATATTTCTCAAGAAGGGAATGGCACAGGAGGTATGCAGGTTATTTCTCTTTTTTCCTTTCTTGTTTGGGTTTTCTATCCCATCTGAACTTGATGATGATTATCTTTTCTTGACATATTGCAGATGGCTGGTCGAATCCTGATTTTGCGCCCTACATCACTTTCTGAATTTGCTGAGAGGTGCAAATCTCTACATGACTTAGTTGTAGCTATGCTCAGCAACGGCTAGGACGGTAAACAGAATCAACAGAATGATATATAGGAACTATAACAGAATTAGGTACTGTATTAAATAGGTTGAAGAGTTAAGAACTTACTAATGTTTATTCAGGTACTATGAAATCTGCACAGTCCTAACAAGATGATGCAATAGCTTAGAGAAAATTATTAGCAGTAGAGAATGATCATAAAAAATATCGAAGCTTTAATTCAAAAGAACAGAGCAAAATTATGGCAAGAAAAACATGATAAATTAAAAATTTTGATATAATAAAGGATTCAATGGTTGTTAATTATTTTAGATTACATATGTATCCATGTGGTGTCGTGATTTGCCTTCAGAAAGGACTGGAGAGCTACTAGACGGTTTAAGTCAATACCTTTCTTTTCTATTGTCCTTATATATGATTTTGTCCTCTACCCCAGTTGCTATGGATTAATGATACATCAGACTCACTCTATTGAGACCCTCTTTTTGCCCCTGGTCCGAAAGAAATGCATGTTAACAGAATAACTTAATATGATTTAAATCATTAATTTTAAAATCTCTTCAGTAAATTGTAATATATGCCAATTGGTTTATATTGTTAAAGGTTGCGTCTGATTCATGGCATTCTTAACCAATCTACAAATATCAGTGTCATTACATATAAAATGCTGCAGATTATGCTATCTGTCATTGGCTCGTAGCTCCTGTTAATATACTTAATGATGTGTTAACACTACCAGTTTGCACCAGATTAAAGTATCACTTCTCCAGCAACAAGTGAAATTGCTCATCATTGATAGCATGGCTGCTCTAGTTTTAGGGTAAGCTTAACTTATGGGCAATGATTGTGAATAATACGATCAAGGATGATCGCTTCAAATGTTCTTAAAAATTGTGATTATTCTTATAATATCCTCCTGGTCATGAATGTCTCATGCATAGGAATTGTTCAATTTTTCTGTTCAGTGAACGTGATTGTGGGGCTTCTAGACAACAAGCTTTGGGTTGGCATGTTTCTTTTATCAAGTATGAACCATACCGTTACCATGGCGTGGTGGTAACACATACCATTTTTACTGTTGCACTTGCGATATATTTGCGATTAAGAACTTCAACTTTCTTCATTGAGGTACTGATTTTGAAGGCATGTAGGTCACTTGCTGAATTTTCACGGATTCCAGTTGTATTAACAAATCAAGTAAGATCTCAAATTGGTGATGAATCTCGCATGTATTCCTTCCAAGGTATGATGAACAAATTATATTTTGTATTTGTTGATTTTAAGCACCTGAAAGAGAAAAAAAATTATTGGGAAGAAAATATTAATTACACAGAAAATACAAAAATGTAATAAATAATTTATTTTCCAATAAAAATCTTCCTCTTTTAGTTGCTTAAGTTAGCCCTAAGGGTATGGATAGCTGTGAACTAGTAGATTCACATATCATTGTACTTATTAAGCAGCACAAAGCCGCTCTATAATAAAAGATAATCCTGCTACATATGATTCTCATCTCGTTGCTGCTTTGGGAATTAACTGGGCTCATGCTGTGACCATCCGCCTTGTACTTGAAGCCAGATCAGGTACTTTAATTTGCAGTGATTTGCGTCCTCTTGATATATATATATATAT